TTTGATTACCCTATATCGTGATACATCGCTATATCGCGATGCAAAACTGACGATGCATCACGATATATAATTTCTAATTTCGCCCAGTCCTAGTTGTAGCATTGATAAAAATAGCTCCAAATCGAAATTTCGAAGCGTCTTTAACATTTCTTTTCCTTTGGAAATTTATTTATATAATGGCTGCAACAAGTTTGGACTATCGCGATTTCTCTCTTGTTTGCAAAGCTTTCCAACTAAAAGAAAATGGCCCAAATGGAATGATTTGCCTTTGCGGGCTGGACAAAGAGGATATTATTTTTTCAAAAGATGAAGAAAGCGATATTGATTCTGTTAATAGTTGGGGATTACGAGTGTCTCCTATGATTAACGATTTTATCCTATTAGAAACTATAATGGTACCAACATGTGATGATGATATTTCATCAATTGAAAAGTTGAGAAAGATTTTTCGTGATATGTCACCTTACAAGAGATTGGTGTGGTGCGGCCGCCTTCTGATTGAATTCCACGAAGAAAACCAAGGCAGTCGGTATTTATCGTCTGCTCTGAAGTTTTATGTGAAAGCGATTGAATACATGAGAAGCGTTCCCGTTTGCCAGATCTTTCCTGATGATACGAAAATTAAAGAACTTGTAAAGCTTTCATCTAAATTTCGCGTTCACCAGAGTGCATTTATCGAACTTCTCAGATTGTTTAGCACACATGGATTTTTTTATTTGTTGTCTTCTCCGACTATCGATTATGTTTTATTGTTAGAAGATATATTTAGAGCAACAAACGAACTTAAAATAGATATATTGGTATTATGGAAAAAAGTAGACAACAGATCTTACCTTTTATTTAATGATTTTGTTCATAAAAACATTGAAGCTTTTATTCCATTAATCAAATTTGGAAAGACAGAGTGTATATCAATAGAGAGTGGTGAATATTTGACGTCATCATTCATCCGGTATGTATAATTATTTTTCTATTTAATTTATTTTCTGTTTGCTAAACTATTATTCTTCATCTCAAATTCTTGAGAGTATGAAATTGTGAAAGATTCCAGAAAATTTTTTTAGCACCATTTATTATTTCTTTTATATCAAGCGCAAAACCCTACAAATTGCCCCAAAATGTGGAAAGCTGCTAAATTTACAGTTATCTACGTAATCACTGAATATCGGCATATTTTTTTTAAGGAAAAAAAATATTATAGAAAAATATTATATTAAGGAAAAAAATGAAACGTATTTCTTACGTTTCATTTGTTTTGAAGGTTATCCTCATAACTTCTATCAATTATTACTATTCATGTGAAATAAATTTTACTATTAATTGCACTGGAATTAAATAATCTTCCAATTTGACTGACTTATAAAATCCATTCGCTCGCAGGCTGTGGAGGAAATTAAAAAAAATATTAAAAAATAAATAATCACAAATAATAATAATAATAGATTTACAAATAAATTTAATTGGTGATAAACAGCAAAACAAAATTGATTGATTAACAAATCGACAGTCTTAAACAGAGGCGCAAATGTTTATTGAAAGCAGTAGGCCACAAGTCTCCATGAAAGTGTTTCGTAGAACCCTGGTGTTCTGTAGAAAGTTCACAGGGGTGAGGCACTTTTTTTAAAAACTAGAAATGATTTTTGAAACCTGTAATAGGTTTGCATTCAACCAATAATTAGTTTTATTTATTAATTTGGTTGTTATTATTATGAAAACATTTAAACAATTTTCGTATAAAAAAAGAAATAGCAAATTTTAAAATGTATCATTAGATTTTTTTCCATTATACTAAAAAGATTTGCATTTTTATCAGCATTTCCCAGCGAGCTTTAAAGTTCAAAATGAAGTTACCAAATTTAAGAATTACTAGTTATTTTTCTCTGATGAATTTCAAGTTTTATAATATTAAAAAAACGGACAAACAATTTTTAAGAGAATTTTATTAAAAAATAGATACTCACAAATAATAATAACAGTAGATTTGCTAATAAATAAATTTAATTGAAAATAAATAAAAAAAATTAAATTTGATTAACAATTTTAACTAGAAATAATTTTTCAAACCTGTAATAGGTTTGCATTCAACTAATAATTAATTAAGTCCATGTTCCACAAAGGGAGGTTTAATCATTTAGGGCTGAAAAAAAATAGAAGTCGCTGCTTTGGAGAATTAAAACTTTAGTAAGCTTTACAAAAAAAAAGAAATTTAAAAAAAACCGAGCACCTTTAGAAACTATTGGTCGGATTTTTACTCTCTAAAATGCATTGATAATTATAAGTTTTTAGAAATATGTATAACAGTTTTTATAATACGTATTATAATTTTAACCGTGGCGGAATATACTTTTTTGGACGATAGAGAACGCTGTTTTTTCTAGAAACTTACTTTTTTCCCCAACATATTCGGATTTATCCTCCCAATGTAGGAGGTAAACAAAGTTCTGAAAAGTTGGTTTTATCGTTTAACCCATGGGTCGCCAAACTTTTTTGATCATCGAGCCCTATATAATTTTTCGAAATCTCCATCGAACCCCATAAAAGTAATTTTCTGTTAATTAAGATAAAACTCTATTAGATACTGTGTATGTTCATTTATTTTATGATTTAAACATTTATTAAAGTAATAGTACATTGTGTAACAACAGTTTTATGAAAAATATATTAATGTTGAAATTTAAATACCTTAATATTTATTAAATAATAAGCTATTATAAATAAGTAGAAATAATAAGTAAAGTAACTACAGACTTATTGCTTCTTAACCAATGAGATGAGTGTGCCCGGTGTTTTTTTGCAAGGTTCGCTATATTGGGTTCAAAATTGGTCAATTTTAATTTTAAATCCCCTCGTAACTCCACATTTAATTTCTTTCTGTACTGAGTCAAGATTGAATTTACGTGACTGAAACCGGCTTCAACCATATAGGAACTTGAAAAAGCTAGCATAAAAAGGCTGAGCTATTTCATAAAGTTCTACATATTTTTGCATTATATTTATATTTGTTCAAAATTTACTTATTGTTAAATTTTTAAAAAGCGTCTTTGCTTCAAGATCCGATAATAATTCAGCAAACTCCTCTTGCAGGTTGATGTCCACGTTTTTGATGATGCGTTNAAAAATATATTAATGTTGAAATTTAAATACCTTAATATTTATTAAATAATAAGTAATTATAAATAAGTAGAAATAATAAGTAAAGTAACTACAGATTTATTGCTTCTTAACCAATGAGATGAGTGTGCCTGGTGTTTTTTTGCAAGGTTCGCTATATTGGGTTCAAAATTGGTCAATTTTAATTTTAAATCCCCTCGTAACTCCACATTTAATTTATTTCTGTACGTAGTCAAGATTGAATTTACGTGACTGAAACCGGCTTCAACCAAGTAGGAACTTGGAAAAGCTAACATAAAAAGGTTGAGCTATTTCATAAAGTTTTACATATTTTTGCATTATATTTATATTTGTTCAAAATTTACTTATTGTTAAATTTTTAAAAAGCGTCTTTGCTTCAAGATCAGATAATAATTCAGCAAACTCACCTTGCAGGTTGATGTCCACGTTTTTGATGATGCGTTTATTAATTTATGTTCTGTAAAGAAACTGATATTAAGTCAATAATAAAAAAAAAATTCAAAAATTTTACATACTCAATTAGATACGTGTGATTTACGTATTAAGAACTGTTTTTTCTTTGACCCCCAATCGACCCTTCCGATTCGGATCGTCCCCCTGGCTCAGATCGACCCCCACCTTTGTTAATTAGACCCCTGGGGGTCTATATAGGCCATTTTGCCGACCTCTGGTTTAACCGATATAATAACCAAAGATTTGATTTACCACATTTTTGTTTCTTTTGTATTCTTACTGACTTCAGGGATGTCATCCTACTCAATCTATAGTTTGTCTAAAATAAGAACTTCCCCAGACATTCGTCTGGACCTGAGGCGGTGACTATGGTAACGAGGTATGACTATTTCAAGTAGGGGTGCGGGTCACTGTTTTGAAGTGGTTTCGGCTCGGGAAGGCGAAAGAAAGTGAATTTCTTTCTTTGGTCTAATATGTTAAGATGGTTTGGTCTAATATGTTGTTAGTTCTAGAGTGAAGCTGCCCTCCCCAAAAATGGGCAGTTCTTGTTCCCATAGCACCAGACGGTCTCAGACTTTGATGCGGGAGGAATTCTTAGCTTAAGACAAACTATATCACCCTCCCTAAGTATAGGAAGACCACCTTAATTGACAAGAGTGGATTTATCTCTTATCTCTGAACTGTTTTCCTGTCATTTTTCGATTGATTCATTTCAATAAATGTCTAATCAATTTTATATGTTTAATTTGAGGCTTCAGGTATGTAAAAAATTCTGTTTAATAAAAATGAAAAAAAAAATTTTTTTGTAAAGTAGATTTACCGCAAAATTGAAAAATCTTGAGAAATTCACGGATTTTCGAAGAAAAGAGGACAATTCCGAAGAAATTTGCGCTGCGGCAGACCTGCAGCCTTAAAATCATAGCTTTCAAAATTATTTAAAATTGATGCTTGAATATAATTGGTAAATGTCAAGCGATTGTAGTGCCAATAAAATTGTAATTAAAATCAACTGCAGTTGTACTACTAATATAAAATATACTAATATATACTAATGTAATATAATACTAAAATAAATAAAACGTGGAAATGAATTTTTTTGTTGTTGAAATTTTCATTAATTAGAGTAAAAATTTTCTTAAAATTTGCGAAAATTGCGTCACTTGTGGAAAAAAGACCAAAGAGTCTTCTTTTAGCATATCAGGATAATTTTAAATTTTTTGCTACATTTTTTATTTTGCTTTTTGAAGAAAAAAAATTGAATATGAGGGGATTTACAATTCTTAACATAAACATTGCTTATACCAATCCTCCAACTTTGCCAAGAAAAGGAAGCAAATAATAAAATCCCTTACCGTTAAATGCCTACACAATATTTGAACGTCCCCCCCCCCATTCTTTTTGTCATTGCGATTTTAAATTTTGACCACGTTCTGACATAAACAAAGTAACAGTCACAAAACTAAAAAAAATTACTAGATAATAATTATAATAACGAGTTATAATTTTGAGAATTGAGAATTCGGAACCTAAAGCGGTAACGGTTTAAACTAGATAACTTATAAAATAAGACGTAGCCTTAATATTTTTATTGTTTTATTTTTCTTTAAAAAAAAAATGGGAAGAAATTTCAAATCCAACAGACCAATGAATCCCCGTGTATTAGACGATAACTGGTGAACGCTAAATTCTGTTGGAGTCATTAAATCCTCCAAGTTAACAAAACAAATCAATTCCTCTGGGGGTACTGGTCCAGTAGACTTCTGGATTGGGTTCAAAATTGCAAGGTTACGGAATTGAACATTGGTAGACGTAAACTCAGGTGGGAGTTCTAGAAATATATAAAGTATTTATCTAGAACTTATGCTAATAAACTGTTTTATGTGAAAATGTCGATTTTTGACAACAGTGGCTTGTCATTATATTGCACCAACCCTTATACACTGAAGAGCCAAAAAAACTGGTATACCTACCTAATATCGTGTAGTGTACCCGCGAGTACGCAGAAGCGCCGCAACACGACGTGGCATGGATTCGATCAATGTGTGAAGTAGTGCTGGAGATAATTGACACCATGAATCCTGCAGGGCTTTCCTTAAACCAGTGGGAGTAAAAAGGGGTGGGGATATCTTCTGAACATCACGTTGGAAGGCATCCCAAATATGTTCAATAAAGTTCATGTCTGGGGATTTTGGTGGCCAGCGGAAGTGTCTAAATTCAGAAGAGTGCCGCTGGCCACCAAAATCCCCAGACATGAACATTATTGAATATATTTGGGATGCCTTGCAGCGTGATGTTCAGAAGATATCCCCACCCCCTCTTACTCCCTCTTATGGACAGCCCTGCAGGATTCATGGTGTCAATTATCTCCAGCACTACTTCACACATTGATCGAATCCATGCCACGTCGTGTTGCGGCGCTTCTG